GCTGATAGCGGCGAACAGAGTGTCGGCAGTCAATCAACTGACAAGCGGTGAAATGTGTCGGCATTTATACACTTGCCATCGAACATTCTAGCGTTATCACTAGCGGCGACGTAGGTTCCAGAGTAATCTGAAAGGTTCACGAAGGGGGCGTAATCTTAACAAAATGATCTACTACAATCTTGCAGCTTCTCTAACACTGTAGACGCAGTTTGCGCTGAACATAGTGTAACGGGGCGATAACAAAACTTGAGGAAAGGAATGCGATAATATAGAGCCTAATTAAGAAGGTATGACAGGATAAACCCCCGAAAAAATTGAATTTGCAATTTCTACACCCAAAAATTCTCTGCACTCTGAGGAACAAATTTGTGGAAGCCTGTGGTTGAGCGGCCGCTCCAAGGGGTTTAAAAGCTGCGCTGAAGTGTGCCACACGCCCTGTGGCGTAAGCAGGGTGCACACATAAAACTTAGTTTTTCTTAAATTCCGTTTTTTGTAAATTGTTCAATTTCAATGTACTTTTTCTCAAAAAAACTGAATCGATTTCGATGAAACTTTGTATGCGTGAGCTAGAACAAGTTAAAAACAATCTTAACTGAAAAAGAATGCTCATTTCATAAAAAGTGAGGCTGTAAAAAAAAATTACACAATACGCACCCTTCGTGGGGTTGTGCAAGCAGTATTTTTATTTTGTTTACAGGAGTTTTTTGAAAAATAGTATTTTTTTTGTTTAGATGTAACCTATGAGTCTCTACAACAACACGGCTGAGTACGTACGTTTACATTCCTTCCAGTACTTGTATAGAAAAGGTACATTGAATAAGTGAACCCCCCTTAAAATTTGGGAGTGGGCCATGAAGGATAAGCAACTTGGGCATAAAAAACAGTGTCACCTGATGCCCAGTGGCATTTTTTGTGAGCACGTAAAATTTTATGTGAATACTTGCAGCCGTTTCTATGAAATTACGCTAAAAACTGACATATGTCATTTACCCTACCATACCCCTACTTAGTATAAGGCAATCATTGGCGGCGAGTTGTGTGTAGTGCAGCTGATGCGGCTGCTGCAGAGTGGAGTTCCCAACCCATCAACTAACGATGCCGATCGGCTCTGCAAAGGCGAACTGCGGAAGACCCGCGCACGGGAGACTCCATCGATTACACAGTTCACGAGCGAAGCCATCAAAGTCGCCTCTGTTTGGGACTAGAAAGGGGAAGCTTACTTGGAAGCGCGTCAGGCAAAAATCACGTCATGCGCAGTCGTTTGAGTTTAATTCATTGTTGGCATGCACAAGTGCCATTGAGAATGTCCCTGGGACGCGACTACTGGGCTAACCGAGACACGGTTGCGGCACGCAGACGAGCTAATCCTCCCCTGCCGTACGTCATTACCGAGTGTTGTTAAGGTGGCAGGGCGCCTCGCTGTCGCATGCACTGCTAATCAGCGCACAAGGCCTGACGGTGTACTCACCGCTCTTAAGGAGGCTTCTATGAAGCAACGTTTAATGAGAGAGCTGATGGAGCTCGAACAGCTACTGATGGAGGCCAGCACGGCCTGACATGGGAGAGAGTGTGACATGCTAAGAACCTATCCCCTCTCGTGTTGTATTTCGTAAGGTGGTTTTTATCAATGAAAGTGTTATGAAAGTGTTTTTGCGATTGGTTGTTGCGACCCGAGCCTGCACGTGTTATTGACTTGTGTGGAAACCCTTTATTCAACCAAGGGTTGAAAAGAGGGTGTTTGAATGTAAAATGAAGATCAAAAGTTCAAGCTTGGACCCGGGCAGACGCCCGAGTGCTGCAATGAAGCGTCTCTTCACCGGACTACGTCTCTTCCTTCTCATTGCCACCGAGCACTCGAATCATCGAGGGGACCTTTTCCGAACCTCAACACCTTCCCTCCTTAGCTAGTGTAAAAGCTAGTGGAGGTTATGATTGATTTGTGGGGTTTAACGTCCCAAAACCACAATATGATTATGAGAGACGCCAAGCTAGTGGAGGTTAAGGAAATAACTCTCCCTTAAAGAATTTCAGCCCTCGCAAATCGTTACTAGTGCTAAGATAATGATTCACTTACAGTATAACAAAGGACAATGTGGGAACTACAAGTTACTGTACTTTATTTTGCAGGAAAACAGTCCCTAAGCTTGTCATGCTTCTTGTGCCTCGTCAAGTTCCAGTTATCCTCATTATCGCTGAAGCTTTTCAAATAAGCGAATACAGCTCTTTGGGCCAAAACAGCGTTGATTGACACAGAACGCTGATGCAAGCCTTGAACCCCGGCAAAAGGTTGGTTAGCGGCGGCAGCGAAAGTGTTGAGTTGGCATTTTCATGACCGCACGGGTACACTTTCGTGGCACCAACAATGGAAGCTATGATCTCAGCATTGATGCAGTCAGAAAGAGCTACATCATCATCCCCACTGATAAAATTCCTCACTCTCCAAGATAGTGCCCAGAAACAGTAAGTCGCAGAATTCACTGAGGCACCGTACGCCGTTCTAAGCGGTCATGGCGCACCCAAAGTCATCGCCTGGCCCGCAAGGAAAGTTAAGGATAGTGCTTTACGGGACGTCGCTCCCAGCGTCAGTCATCATTCTTATCGCAACGTGTGGGTGAACGTTTAGTTTAACTCCCAAATGAAAATTTATCACGAACAAGGTGACAAGTAGACAAGTCCACAAGATGCGAAAGAAAATGCCGAGATCCCGCCATCGACATGTTGGCGATATTGATGTCACTTGTGGCTTTGTAAGTGGCATCTGCTGATTTCAGCTGGTTCGATACGGAAAGCTGAAAAAAGCACAGCCTTTGAAACATGCTTTAAAACCGAAAACACTAAAAATAAGTCACAAGGTGCATCTCAAAGGCCATGCTTTTCAGACTCGCACGCCGTTGAGGGCTAACAAACAAGAAAGTGTAAACATTGCAACGAGATCACCGTGTCACTTCGCATTCTCATTTGGTGTCCTCTGCAATTGGTCTTTTTAACATAAAAGTGTTTTCTGCAGCGGTCCACCACGGCTTCGCTGACGTACTTTTGTCATGGAAGTGACGTTGAGAAGTATTACAAAGAGAATGCAAAGAAAAACAATCACGGCATATCCACGGAGTGAATGATGATGAGGGGGGCGAAGCATTCGTCTGTCCATCTAGTGAACACTCCAAGTACCGCCATCTCACATCTTTTCATCGTATATTCATCATACACCAGTATCGCCATCCAGCAGACATTCGAAGGACTAAACGATAGGTGGCTACTATGATGACACAGGACGTACGACCCACGGTGTAAGGAGCTTCGTCCCTAAAAAATCACAGCATATCCATAGAGTGAATCACAATATGTGGGGTGAAGCGTCTGTCTGTCTGTGTGTCTGAGTCCATGTTTTTGTCTGTCCATGTGTCTATCCATCTGTCTGTTCATGTGTCTGTTGGTTTGTCCATCTTGCCGGTTACGCCTGACGTAGGAAAAGGTTAGACTAAGAGGAGCTTCGCCCCTAAGAGGACTAAGAGGAGACTAAGAGGACTAAGAGGACTAAGAGAACGCAAGAATTTGTTGCACAGAATTGTACCAGCAACCTCTCTATTCTCATTGTGCGGCGCTAACCACTTGCCACAAAGCGTACGTTGTCTGGTATGCTAACGGCAAGCTATTCAATACATCATTTCACTGTTTATAAACCATTTGGCTGTCTTCAGAGCATCGAAACTTCAGTGCATTTTTGTTAGTAGATGCGAGATTGTGTGACAGGCTCACGTTGGGGCGCTCTAAGGTCGTCGTCTCCACGGAGCGTGGTCTCTACTGCGCGCGTGCTTATCAGACTCTTAATTTGGGAAAGAACTAACATCACTTCGGACTTTTTCACGGCCGCATTTACGAAAGGAGTGTGCTGCTGACACACGGCGCAGGAAAAATCGGGACAGCTGGTCGCGCTTATCCTGTGTATCTTGTGCGCCCGTTTCGCACGTCTTCCTTTCGGTTTGAACTGCGCCTTTTATGTGTCAAGCTGTGACAGTTGTTAGTTGGTGCTTGTCCTGTGTGTGCTAATTTCGTGTGTGCTTTCTGCTTAAGGTGTGCGCTGCAAGTGTCGAGCTGCTTGTCAATCCTAATCTGTCTTTGGAACTTGTTTCTGTTGCTGAAATAATCCACAATAAGTGCTCAACTACATCTGCAAAGACACTATTTACTTTCGTGTTATACCAATTCCTATATGGGGGATCAGCCACGTTTTTAAATACACTATGCCCGCGAGATGAGAGGTCGCGCATCAGACATACCTGTGCACTTGGGGTGCACTCACAAGCGCCGCGCAACAAACTAGATCAGTGCGGTAGAATGACACCACCTTTTCGTCCCCTGCGCGCAAAAAGGCATCAGAACTTCTTAGATCGCGGCTGAAAGTTGATCAATATTTCCTAGTAAAAATGCATTTTCTGAGCCTCAGTGCAGTGTTCGTATAGCTGATGCCTTGCAGTGCGGTAGTTGATATGCCAATGCAGCGGTCTCATACTTTCGTGTGGGAAATTCAAGTGGATTTTTCAACTGTTCGAAATAGCGAATAATTTGATATATCTGTGTTTGATATATCCGTGATCGACTGTAGTAGACACAATGTTGGATTGTAGACGATTAGGCAAGGGAAAGTCAAGTGTTTGGGCATCTGCCTCTAGTGTGGGAGGTACTGGGTTTGACACCCAGTGCTGACCAGAGACTTACTGGTTTTGTGAGGGTAGAGTAATTCTCTTCACCTGGCACTTGGTCATTTCTGGGTACTTGCCTCACCGCGTGCCTATTGGTAAAACAGGTACAAGTAGGCTTTTGTGCAGTACTACGATGGTACTGAGCTTTAGGCACTTTTTCTGACCTAATTGTCTACTTGGTTTATGTATTTTTGTATGAGCAAAACAAGAAGTTGAATAGCAGACTTTGGCACTTTTTTCATCTCTTTTTTTTTTTCTTTCTTCCTCCGTGCTGTCTTATGTGGTGCGTACTTCATGCAGCCTCCACACGGACTTTGTTTGCTATCGGGGTCTGCTGACGCGACTTGCGTGCACAGCATATGAGGCACGTGAGGACTGGCTGCTGGCTGCCTGCCGTTTTCGTGGCAGCATTTACCTGTGCGCCTTCGAGACGGATGCGGAGCGGAGGCGGCGTCTCGAGGATGCAGCCGACCCTCGTCGTGACCGTATGTCTTTCTGGGGCTACAAGTTTGAACAGTACATGGTCAGTGGTGAGTGCTCTCAGAAATCAGACAACACGCTGAGCTTGTTGTTCATGTCAGTTTCCTCATCCGCAGGACCCCGTTGTATTTTGCATAAAGTGACCATATTCTGCAAACCCCGAAGTGAAACGGGAGGAGGGGGGTTTATAGAATGATGTAAAAAGGAACATGTCACATAGCTCAAAAAGAAGAGTTTACTTTTTAATACTCCTGTTACTCAGCACCTGTGATGTCATCTACTGCGAATGATATGAAGCATTAATGTCATTTTTATTGCTGCATAGTGAATGACATTCACCCGTTGAATGTGTTCACCGAACTCATGGAAGCGCGACGTGTACTCTGGTCAACAGGTGCTTGACAAGAATTACAAAATCGACACCTTCAAGCAAGTGTGAATGATGCTGAGATGTTTATTATGGTGCATTCAGACGACGGACCGAATCCGGATTTGTCGTGGACGCGGACAGCTAATCCGCGGATGGTCCGCTTGCAGGCGCATCCACACGACGGACGGTGTCCTAGGGGAAAACAGCCGGATTACCCTCGACAGCAGATTCGGCGCTTACCTGCGCCCGCTGGCAGCAGACCGGTTTGAGAGTATTCAACATGGATGTCCGCAAGAAGGGAAGCTTGGCTGTGATGTCTGTCGTGTTGTGACAAATGAACAAGTAGTGTTATTCTTTCAGGAGAAAAGGGAGTTGCTAGCAGGATATTCTTTCAACTACATTATTCCCCACTTGTAGAACTTCTAAACGTGTCTCCCACCCTTTTTTTTTTAAAGCGGCACGTCGCCGTTTGCAGAAGTTGGAATATTTCACTACCATGACGGCTAAGAATCTCGCGTGTTAAGCGACGGCGGCGACATTTCCCGAACCACCAAAAGTGATTTCTGCATATTTAATCACCCGAGAACAAAGTCTCCGGAAACTAAGTAAACAATGCTCAAGCGTAGATGATGCCGACCGACCAGTCATGCAGCTGTCCGCGAGCCATGGAGGACATGCCGCGAGCAGACGAAAAGTGTACTGGTTGCCACCGACCCCAAGCTATTCCGCTGAAGTACCGGCTCTCCCCCGCCAGAATCCCGATGTGAGAAACAAGTTGGGTTCATCCGACCGGGAGCCGCGCGGACGAGGGGAATCGCTGATGTGAGGTCACGTGACGCGCCATCCGTCCCGTCACATCGGGATTCGGTCCGTCGTCTGAATGCACCTTTAAGGGTTGCTGTTTACTTTTTGGTAACTTTTTATCGTGCAATGGGAAGGTTGAAGCGACATGTGCAGCTATATTTTTTTTTCCAGTCTATGACTTGGGGCTTTAGCACCTCTTGTCAGCCATGTTTACTCATGCCCACTGTTGTTTCGGTGCAGCGTCGCAGCATTAGACTAGCTAGTCACAGAATACGCACGCACATGTTAGGCACCAGTTCACAGAGTGTTTGCAAACTAATTTTTAATCTTTGACAATGTCGAAGCCAAAAAAAGCAGCTAATGTAAACAAATTGTCATGTAGGCAAGGCCTCAAATATCTCGCCTGCGATCTTTTTTAATAGCAAGCTTGAGGTGCTTCAATTGGTTCTGGTGCTTTATTCGCAGCAGCTCGAGAGAAATTAACGTTCATTTGCACAAATCGGTATTCCATTGCAGCCGCAAAGTCATGAACGCTGTCACAGTTCCAAATATTGTCGACTGCAAGTTGTGAGAGGCTTGAGGCTTTAAGCTAGTCTTGCTTTGGATATGTATGAGGATTCTTTTTTTTTTTCTACTAATGCTGTTTCTTCACGTGGCAGTATATTTCGAACCATCCAGACAATGTTATGTAAATTAAATGCGTGATTTATAACTTTTCGGTATTATAGCCACCTGCCGATAAATGTTTACATCAATTGCGAATGTCATTTCACATAGCCATGTGGACACAGAATGCAGTATCGCAATGACATTGGTTTTGAATGTCGTTCGCTGTGGATGACATTACTCGTGCCAAGTGACAGGGGTATAATATTGTTACGAGGTTTGTACAGTGATCCCACACTTGCGCCAACGGTGCCAAAGTGCACCAAATCAGATTTACTACGCCATCTTGATAGTATCCATGAAAATTGTGCCAAACTGTGCCACATTCGGATTTTTAAGCGTCTGTCACCGGCAATAGCCATACACTGGCATCAAAAGATGTGCATCTTGTTCTCGGGGCCACGATAGTCACAATCGCTTGCCTAGAATTATTCCGCTGAATCAACGCGTGCATCTTAAGTAATCCACGATGCGATGTTTGATGCCGACGCAACTTTTGTTGTGCAAGTCTGCCTAACGGTGAAACACACTTTTCGCAGAGGCTCGTGACGTCTAGTCCAATTAGTGCGCGAAACTGTGGCAGCGATTCATCAGTGGACTTCTTGATATCGTGATCTGATTTCCCGCGTTTCGCGTCCACAGAAGAACACATGCTTGGAGTGGAAATGGGTTGACACTTTTTCTTTAATATACTTTATTCATAGATCTTCGTTCAAAAGTTCATTTTCGTAATTCGTTCCACCAGCACTTCTGCGCTTGTATTCGCTGTTGCGGTAAAAGCTCCTAAAACACCCTGCCATTTCGAACTCAAGATTGCTAGGGCCTGTATTCAAAATTTTTGCATGCTTTTTTTACTGTCATCTCATTATTAAAAGCATGCTTCCTTGTAGGAGCAGCCGGAATTCAGTTCTAACATGCGCAGCTTTCAATAAGGCGGCTATCGCTGGTGACACGGGGGTCTGAAGGCCCAGGTCAATAGCTGATGGTTAAAAAAATTAAACATCACGTCATTGCATTTATTGCTTCGTGTTTGGGGGGGGGGTGTGAAAAGGGGAGGGGGCGGAAACTGCGTCGCTTGAAGGGCACATTCGCGAGCGCATCATCTCGAGGCCTAATGAGACATGTTCGTAAACCATCTGTGCTACTATAACCTCTGCTTTGCATTTAGGTAACTGACAATGCAAAAACTACTTCGGCCATTGCAGTGATCATGGTCCCTTTAGCCAGCGTTCATCTGAGCTATGCGACGTCATGTCTAAAAGATACTATTTGTTAGTTTCACTTAGGCTCTTAGCAATGAATGCGATACCAACAGTCTGTTCGCATTGAGAGCCAAGATAGAAGGTTATAACAGCCGCATTTAATGCCAGCTGAATTATTGCGAGTGCCAGTGATCACACCGACAGTTCATCTTATTCTTCGGTGGGGAGAGTCATGTGCCTTTGGCTTTCATCAGAACGATTGCCTTAGTTGCTGGGCCCAACACAAAGGTCACTTCGCTGGCTGCACGGGCCCTGTTTCCGAAAAGTACGCGCTTTTCCTACACATCAAAGTATAACAAACTTGTTAGTTCGCACACATCTGAACTTGTGACTACGTTTCATGTGTCGTTTTTGTTTAAACAGGGCGTTGAGCATTGAGTGGTAAAAGTTGTTAGTTCGCTCTTATCCTATATGCTGTTTTCGTGCATCATTTGTGCGTGAGCAGCGCACTGCACGTTTTGATCTGCTTTCCGTTCTCCGCATTACATTCCAATTTGTTGCTATTGCTTTTATTGCTTCGCTCTTGTGGCAAAACTGTGACTTTTTTATCTCTGCTTTAGCTACATTCGTCACCCCTGCTCGCGTGCTTTTGCCCACTTGTAAAACAGACGATGCGGGGGGGGGGGGGGGGGGGATGTAATCGATTGGGATATTACACAAAACATGACGGCGACGGCCAGTGGCATATCCAGAGGGGGGGGGGGGGGGGGCACATCGGGAACGTGCCCCCCTCCCCCGAAATATTTTTTTGCCATGGCATATATAGAGCTCAATGTTGCCATTTGCGTGCCCTCCCACTCTCAGATCAAAGTGCACTCCCCCCAACCTCCCCTACCCGAAAAAAATTATAAAAAATTTTTACTTATGCCCCTGGCAATAGCGAAAACTGGTCGAGATTGTCCTTGTAATTGCTACCGCAATAACGACAAAATGGCTCTTGCCTTCGAGTCGTCTTAGGCGTATGCATAAGGTGCCCTGTGAAGTTTTTTTTTCTTTATACATTGCTTTCTAGAACCCTACAGGGGGATTTTGAAGTATAGACAGATTGCCCTAGCCACATTACACACTGCGAAGGGAAAACGAAGTTTGTTGATTTGTGTAGTTCCAGCGCAGAGAGATGAGTACCGGAGGAGGTTTCCTTTATGAGACTAGCTAAATGACATCATGTTAAGCCCAGCAGTATAATCGGTTGTGAAGAAAAAGAAGCTTTCTATATCCTTGGAGTCGTCTAAGGGAAATGCAGTTGCGACTCTGTGTCTCTAGTGTTGTACGTCACAGAGTTTGTCTACCATATATATTTATAACCACATAGGTGTATAAAATGTTGCTTCATGAAGTACAATTTTATTGAACCAGTATACTGTTTATTTGCTAGGAGAATAATCACTGAACAAGTTTTTTTCAGATTGGCCAGCATAGTGATGCCATTATTTTTGCATCATCAACTAAAATATGGAGAGCTCCTAAGATGACTGGCTTAATGAAATTGAAATGAATGGAAATATTTCTTTCTCTTCACAGGAGACAAGAGCCCCGAAATAATTGTTCATGCCCATGAATATAAATGCGACTTGCTTGTCCTCCAGGATGTGAAGTTAGCTGCTCCAGATTGCTCCAAAATGGAAAATTTTGATGCTCTAAAGGGCTCTAAAATGGAAAAATTTGTGGCTCCAAAGTTCTCCAAAATGAAAGTTTTGCTGCTCCAATGTGCTCCAAAACAAATATTTGATGCTCCAAAGTGCTCCAAAAGGAAAATTTCGCTGCTTCAAAAATTGCTCCATATCAGAAAACCTCGGTGGCATCACTGTTTGTAAGAAAGGTTCATTTACCCCTGCTGGGGCATCTGCGCAAGTAGGTGTTTGGTGTGTAGCCACACCATGGACCCGAGCTAACGGGGGGGGGGGGGGGGGGTTCGACTCCCTCCCACGCCTAGCCATGCGTGGCTTTG